AAAAGAAAAAAAAAGAAATTCATATATGTTCTCTGGTAATATGTGGAATTCAGCCTAGGCAATCTTTACGAGTCCCTGGGAGTTCTAGGCTCCTGTGCTCACCGAGTTTTTTTGTGAAGGAAATACTGACCTCTGTTGTGTCTGTTTTCCATGTCTTAGATCAAGAGCACTGACAGATACGAAAGCATGATTTAATGTTACACTTTCTAATAAGAAAAATGCATTTTTGAAGGATAGATGGACAAAGGACATGGTGAATTTCCAAAATTAACTGTGAAAGACAGATTATCGAGGCATGACTGAAAGCCATGCATAACCTTTGTGTTCAAATATCTCATTTCAAATATGTCACTTTCTGCTTATTCAATGCTACTGTCATTATGCTATTTTAAGTACTAAAATTTGTGTTCTGGAGCTGAACAGGAATTATTGCTTCTATCTTTGGGGCCTATTAGAAATAATTTAAAGTTCATTTAAAAGTGATACAAATCATCTTTCGATTTTGGTTGAATAAGGTTACATGTTGAAATTTGCAATGCAAATTTTATCTTAGCAGTACTTTAGCATGTAGTTGTGGAGTTCAAGACTATTTTAGGTGTCTTATAAAGAAGTTACATTTTAATATGATTCTCTTACATTTTAATTTCTTAAGAGTGAATATAAGTTAGAATAAATTATCAGAAGATAGGGCCTATAATTGCAGACACTTTTTATATAGATAAACTTTTTAAAAACACATGTGACAGTTGAAATGTATTTTCATTTCATAATTTCCACAAACTATTACTGAATACTTGAACCACGATAAGTGAGGAGAAACACTAGCATACTAGAAAACAAATTGTTTTGTGCTTTGACTTTCCAGCAATAATTAGGAAACTATAAGACTGTTGAATGAAAATAAGATTATGTACAGATAAAAGCCCCAGCTTTGAAGGAATAGATTCCTTTATTCATATGGGTCACCTGCAATTTAGTTAACATTCTGTTCTCTAAAAATTCTCATTCATCCATTTAAATTTTGGTCAACACCAAGGAGGAAAATCGGGAAAAGAATTGCTTGAGTTATATAAACCTGCATACATTAGGCTTTGCTCAACAAGGACTAAAGGGAAGGGAGGGGAAGGGAGAGGAGGGGAGGAGAGGGGAGGGAAGGGAGCAGCTGGCTCAATGCTGCAGAAAGTAAGAGGAGAGGGAACCAGTGATAGGAGAAATTCAAAAGGTTGCCTAGGAAAAAATTGTATTAATATTTAAAATAACAAAAATAGTTAAAGTATTACAGGGCCTGAGAATGAAAGGACAGTTGGTCTTCATTTTCCAACTGTAAAGGTTCTTTGCACAAAGTTCATCAAAGCCACCCTGTGGCTTTGGTGGCTCACAGGCAGCCAAGATAAATATGTGATTTAAATTCTGGAAATTCATTCTTTCTAGCTAGGTGTGCTGCTTCATGCCTGCAATCTCAGTTCTTGGATGACTGAGGCAGGAGGATTGCCATGGGTTCAAGGCCACTCTGGGCTATATATTGAGATCCTGTCTCAAAAAAAAAAAAAATCCAATAAATAAACAAATAAGTAAAGGAATAAAGAAAGTATTGTGTTGGTGAGGAGTCTCTACCTAGTTTGGAGGGGTGGGGGGGGAGAGAGAGAGAGAGAGAGAGAGAGAGAGAGAGAGAGAGAGAGAGAGAGAGAGAGAGAGGTCTTCTCCTAATCACCTCCTGAGAGCCTTACTCTTATGACCTTACCTAAACCTACCTCTCTGCTAAAGGAGATATTAATGCCTTCATATTGGAGCTTAGGGCTTCTACATAGAATTTTTTGTTGTTAAAAAGAGAAACACAATTTAGTTATTACCAACTGTGATCCCCTCACAGTTATGCTGAGTCATATGTTATCTCTTTTCTTCTTATAGACAATATCCATAATTGGTTTGACACAAAAATTGTCCTCATAGGGCCAGGGAGATAGCTCAGTAGAATCAACACCGGCCTGGCAAGCATAGTGTCCTGAGATCAATCCCTGGTACTGCCAAAAAAAATGTTCTTATAGTGGAAATGGGTTGTTGAGGTTCTTATATATATTTGTTCTATCTTAAGTCTAAGTATGTTGTTCTCTAAACTAAAAATCTCTCTTGCTGCAGTCATTTCATAGATACAAAGGAACTTTATTTCATTTTTTCTAAGTTTTGTTGTCAAATTAAAGAAATATTTTTATTCACTTTTTGAGGGTAATGTGAACATTGGTCTTACCTATGCCTGATGGACACCATATAACTTATACAGGAAAGAGGTGTGTGGTCACTAGACTTGTCCATCTGCTGTTGCTTCTCTGAATATTGTACTTTTCCCAGATCTATCATCAACTGCTTATGATTTAAGAGAGAATTTAAAAACCTACTTTAAATATGTCATTCCCGTGTAATGGAGTTACCCATCTCATTGATGCAGCCAACTTCCTAGCCTCGGGTTAACCACCCGCTTATACAGCACATCCCGACTCTGAGGATTTCTCCTACTTGCCAACACTCAATCTTTATAATCCACCAGTCAGTTGCTAATCAGTTCCCAGACTCTGGGTTCATTCATACAGAGACCTCCAGTGAGTCTATCCTGATGGGTGAGGATAACTGCGAGCAAAGGATGCAAAGAATAATCCAGAGGAGTTTCATTCTTCTAAATCCTGATCTTTGCAAAATCTCTCCTGTACTAAATCAAATCAGTCTTTTCATTCATAGTCTTACTTTTTTATTCAGGTTGGACTTTCATAATCTGATCATTTATTTCATTCATATGAAAATTAATATGCTTGATAGACTTTAGAGTCAGTAATGCATATCCTGTGATGCATGGTACTGGGAACAGCAGCTGGTAGCTCTGCTAATTCCTAATGTACAATTGATTGGACAGTTTTCACTTCAGTATGTATTTAGGTGTGTTATTTGGGAGACTCTAGGGCTTCACTTGCTATACTCCCCTGGCAAATGAGTTTGCTAGCATATATTAAAGGAAATGAAAGTCTAGATACATTAGGAAATTTCACTTCAGAAAGCTGTTTGCTTTTGGTGAGTACAGTGATCACGTTGGGTACACTGGAGCTGGAAATTTATAATCACAAATAACCTAGCAAAGTGTAGCACATGTCACTAAGGAAATACTGGCTTGATTCTGTCTTGCTGAAGGCAGATTCATGCATACAGTTGCCACCAGACTAATCCTTCAGTGCTCTCCTCTTCTGAAAGAAGATCAAGAAAATATCTTAGATCACAAACGATGCTACTTCCAAACCACAAAGGCAAATTCATACGTGCTGATTTGTGCCTGGAGAAACCTTCCTCTCTTTAGCATGTAGGTCATGGAGAAGCCTGATGGTTTCCTCAGGTTTCATTACCTCATATGGCTGGCTACCTTCTAGTGCAAGTGACTACACTCTGTCACATTGTGCAGTGATGATAATCATTATAATCATGTGTCAACACAGTGAGATAAGAAGATCATAACAAGACTCCAGTGCCTTTGTTGCACACTAAGCAATGGATTGTAGTCAGACATTTCCCAGCATTCTCCACCTTACTGGATGGTGTCGCAAGTTCATGTCCTGTCGTACAGGGGGAGACTTCTGAAGGAGGGTGCATTGATGCACATATTGGTTGTGAGTTTCCAGCTGTTATTTTGGAGGCTTATCCATCATTCCCTGGGTAGCTGTCTTCAAACTCTCCAGAGAGTTGTAATGTGTCAGTGGAATATGTCTCATAAATTCATTTCAAGACAGCATTTGGGATATCATAACAGATCTTATGAACAAAAACAGACAAATGCAGCATGATCGACAATACCTGCAGATATGGAGATTACCTTGTCTAGCCTCATAAGATTTTTTACTTCAATTTCCCTTGAAGTATGGGATGTGTCTTCATGGAAGCTCTTTATCTGAGCCAAGACAGAGATTAAGTAAGTCTCGCAGACCAGGGAATATTTATCTGAAATGAAAGCAAGATATGATCATGGGGAACATCCACATCAGTAAAAAGGCTCAAAATCTATGGTGGTTTTGTGACCCTTTGTGCTATCGGACACTGGATTTCTTTGATTCTATGGAGTTTCTTATGTAGTTCTTGCAGAGATGTTTATTATAAAGTTTGTGATTCCTGTTATCCAACAAGCTGCTTTTCCTTTTAAAAATGCTGAGGTAAAGAAGTGAGAGGTTGTCTTGACTTCAATGCACTTATGTGTTGGATTGGTCAGCCTGTCATTCCTAGCATTCTGCCCATCTGATTTTTCTAAATATGGGAACATTTGACTCTGGCGTTCAGTTTTGATATGAGTCTCAAGCTAGAAACGAAGTTGACCATTGCTGTAGAAACTTTGTAGTACTAGCTGCAATTCAGTTTCAAAAACTGTCCTGTTATAGTCAACTGTTTTACTATTCTTTTTCCCTTTCAGCGCCAGCCAAACCGAGACCCCACAGTGATGAATACTCAAAGAAAATCCCCCCTCCGAAGCCGAAAAGGAATCCCAACACTCAGCTGAGCACATCTTTTGACGAGACCTACATCAAAAAGCATGGTCCCCGGAGGACGTCGCTCACGCGGGACTCCTCGCTCTCGCAGGTCAGCAGCCCTGCAGGGGACCCCGAGGAGGAAGAGCCCGTGTACATCGAGATGGTGGGCAACATCCTCAGAGACTTCAGAAAGGAGGAGGACGACCAGAGCGAGGCCGTCTACGAGGAGATGAAGTACCCCATTTTCGACGACCTGGGCCAGGATGCCAAGTGCGACCTGGACCACCACGGCTGCTCCTCGCAGTGCGCCACGCCCACGGTGCCTGACTTGGACTTGGCCAAGGCCTCGGTGCCCTGCACGCCCCGGGGGCTGCTCTGTGACATCCCCCCGCCCTTCCCCAACCTGCTCTCTCACAGACCCCCGCTGCTGGTGTTCCCCCCGGCTCCTGCCCACTGCTCCCCCAACTCTGATGAGTCTCCCCTGACCCCACTAGAGGTCACCAAGCTTCCCGTTTTGGAAAATGTGTCTTACATGAAGCCACCACAGGCCGGGGCATCGCCTCCTTCCGGCCACACCAAGCTGGACAAAGACCCGGCCGGAGCCCTGGGGCCCACTCCTGGCGCTGCGGCGCTGTCCTCATCCCCTCCACCCCCTTCCACTTTGTACCGAACCCAGTCTCCCCACGGCTACCCTAAAAGCCACTCCACCTCCCCTTCGCCTGTCAGCATGGGCCGGTCCCTGACCCCCCTGAGCCTCAAGAGGCCGCCCCCCTACGATGCCGCCGTGCACTCGGGCAGCCTCTCGCGGAGCTCGTCCTCAGTGCCTCCTGCCATCCCCCGACCCATGTCGCAGGACGGGGCCAAAATGGTCCACGCCGCGGTGAACACCTATGGGGCGGCTCCTGGCGGGTCTCGATCCCGAACGCCCACGAGTCCCTTGGAAGAACTGACCAGCTTATTTACCTCAGGACGCAGCCTGCTGCTGAGGAAATCGTCCAGCGGCCGGCGGTCCAAAGAGCCGGCAGAGAGTAAGTGTGCACAGTCTAGAGCCTCTGAGAGTAAGCGTGCACTGTCTTGGACCTCAGAGAGTGAGTGTGCGAGATCCGGGGTGCAGAAAGTGAGCATGCACAGTCTAAGAACCCCCAAAATGAGCGTGCACGGTCCTGGTCCTCAGAGAGCTCGCGCGCAAAGTCTTGGGACTCAGAGATTGAGTGTGCAGTGCCGAGGACCTCTGAGCGTGAGTGTGCAGGTCTAGGGTGCAGACGGCACAAACCTTCTAGATCCTCAGTCAGCGAGTGTGCAAGGTCTCGGACATCAGAGAGTGAGCGTGCAAAGCATGCAGCTGCAGAGAGCTTGTGCATGGCCTAGCGGGAGGGGTCAAGAAAGCCTAGAGTAGGAATCAAAAGCAAACCGGAAAAAAAAAAAAAAAAAAAGAGCAGGAGAGACAGCACAGCGCACAGGACCTATGTTCCCTTCCATTCAGATGGCAGATGTGCCCTGCGTTATTTTACTCTTCAAAAACTAAACAAGTAGTGGATTCTGAATGTGGACCTGGGGAATTAGGATGGACAAGCTGTACATTACTACCATTAGACAAAAGAGTAATCAGAGGTGACCTGTGACCCCAGCACTCCAGTAGGTTGAGGAAGGAGGATTGGAATTTTAGCCCAGACAACAGTTTCAAAAGAATAAACAAACAAATAAAATAAATAAATAAATAAATAAAATGAGTGAGTGAATGGTTTTTTTAAGGAGTGTAAAATCTGAATCCCAAAATGGGCCCAGGAATTCTGATGGAGACAGTAGAGACCACTGTGAATTTTTTTTGGTAAAGCTTTGATTTAATGGGAAAAGCTAATTACATATAAAATTGTTCCATGTCAAAATGCAGCCTTCCTTTTGAGACTGCTTCAGGGCACGTGCATCAGAAAAGCTTTGAGGAAAAGAAAGGGATGTGAATACAACTTAGGAACTTTTTTTAAAGAGCAGAAATGATTCTCTCTACGTACTGGAAGCTGTTGTACCTTCTCCTTCTAAGTAAACTAGAATAAAGTCACTGCTTGTTTTTTCAAGGTGATTCACAACTTATCTTTATGGCATTCGTCCTAGATCTGTTGATATATAAGTAACAGATAAGTCCCTAAGATGAGAAAACTACTTCCACCAAATTGATTTCAAAGACTAGGAAATTTCTAGAATGGCTAACCCTTTTAGAAGCCCTAAATGAATCACTTCCTTCCTATAATAAAAGTAAAGTTAAAGTAGATCCCCACTCATTTTCTTCTGTCTGTTTTATTAAATTATACTAATTTCTTTTATTTAAAAGATTCTGTAGGCAACTAAACCGATGAGGATTATTTACATCTCAAATTTTGTTACCTGTGGTACAGAGGATCTTCCCTAAAGCAAACGAAATCCTTAACATTTCCCATGATGAAGACTGTAAGTGTGTCCTTAGACAGAGTCAATAGTCATTGCCAGTTTTAAAACATTTTTCCTTCTTTTTCTCTTTCTTTCTTTTTTCTTTACCTAGAGAAATTCATGAAAGCATTAGTTACTTAAATGATTTATCTCAAAGGATTTTAATAACCAAAAAGCAGCAATTTCTAATACTTGAGGCATAGAGTTCCAATTTTACACACATACATCAAAGTATTTTAAAATTATTTTACAAATTTAACTAAAATTGAGGAACAACCTCTTTTAGAGCAATGATTATCAACTAGGACAATTTCACCCCCCAGGGAGATGTAGCAATGTCTGGAAACATTGCTGGTTACCACATTTTGGGTGGCACTGGAGTGTTGTGAAGAGGGGGCAGGATGTGGCTAAAAAGCCCACTATGCGGGATAAACCAGCATAGAGATAGAGGGGGAGGGAAGGAGGGAGAGAAGGAGAGAGGGAGAGAAGAAGAGAGGGAGGGATGGAGGGAGGGAGAGACAGACAGAGAAACAGAGAGACAAGGAGAGAGGGAGAGAGAAAGAATACTACCATGTCTATAATGTCAATTATGACAAGATTGGGAAAACTTGCCTTGATAATATATTAAAACTTGAGGTTTCCACACTTAATTTGGCTTTCACACAGATAAAATAACCTTATTTATAAGGTGATAAAATAACCTTATTTGGTTTCCAGAATTAAAGAAACAATAAATAAACTAGTAAAATAACTTACTTTTAAAATACATAATGTCCCCATACATGTGACATTCATAAAAGTTCCATCTCAAGATGGAAGAAACTGACTCGGCCTGCGAGTTGAGACGTGGGGTAATGACCTGGAGGAGAAACGGGGATGAACAAGACAGGGCAAGAGACACGAGAAATGGAGACAAGACAGGCTTTTTGATCAAGTCTCGTTTATTGAGGAAGTGAGCAGGGTCTAAATAGCTGTATAGTGGAAGCAGTTGGGTGGGACTAGTTGTGGATTGGTAGTGGAGGTCCAGGACCACAGGAAGATGTCGAGGCAAGCAGGGATTGGTGCTGCAGCACTTCTTGCCCAAATAAGGGAAAATATAACAGGAGCGTTCTATCGCCCCCCACAAGAAACAGCCAGTGAGATCGCTCAGCAGATTAAAGCGCCTGCTTAGGCAAGCTTAGGCAAGCACAGACCCCGCGGTTCGATCCCTGGCACCACATGCCGAGACAGACCTGCCCCCAGGGCTGGCTGAGCCTGCCAGAGTCCAGTTGTGGAGGCCAGAGTCCAGGCGTGGTGGCACAAACCCATAATCCCAGCTCTGGGGAGGCTGAAAGCAAGAGGATCACCAAAGGTTCGAGCTGTGTAGTGAGATCTTGCAACAACCAAATACAGTTAAAAAAAAAATGAAGAAACTGGGGATTTCTCCTCACCTTGCAGTTCCTTTGGAGGAGGCTTACCAGCTCCAGCTGGCAGCTATGCCAATTAACTAGAAAAAGTGTACGTAAAAGGAGTGATTAACTATTGAATCTATTTCAAGGAAAATCCATCTGTTAAAACTCAGCCTATGTTGCATACATCGCAGCCTCCTCCCACTGCCAAGTGGGCCTTGTGCGCTTCTGAGACAAAGATTGCATGAGGAGCAGGGCTCCAGCCCTGCAGAGCTGCTCGGGAACCACGCACTGGCTTCCTTCCCGTGCTCCGCCAACCACATATCAGTCCTTGAGAGGAAGGGCATGCCTGGATTTTTATTAGCTTTGGTATGAAATTTTATACACATGAGAAAGTAGAAAACTGCAAATTATACAAATTAATTATTAAATTACTATTTCTTTTTGACTCTAGAGGAAAATAAAGAGATATCACCTAATGCCTTGAAAATCCTAGGCGTTCGTTCTTATAATCAACCTGCAATGCAAAATGTAGAATTAAAATTGTGGATAATTGAAAGTTAACATGAAAGTGACTGCAGGGCATTCCTGTACACTTGGCTGATAGACTTTGTGGATACCAAGGGATACTTTAGGGACTAAGGAAGTGACATGGAAGAGTTTAACATTCATGATGCCTGAATGTCTTTTTTTTTTTTTTTTTTAACATTATAGGAATATTTTATACACTTCACAGATTAAAAGAAGACTGGTATTTCTATTTTCCTTGCTTCTTTTGCTTAATAGGAGAGTCAATTTTGATATCTTCCTGAACATTGGATCTAAAATAAACAAAATGTTTTGTTTTTATTTTCTGTAGCTCAGGAGCACACCCATAGAAGCACGCGTGCTAGGCAAGCTCTCTAGCTGAGCTATACTGCAAACTTTCTTATTTTTATTTCTTGGACAAGGCTTCACTGAATTTCCTAGGCTGTCATCCATCTCTTAGCTTTCCTGTATCAGCCCCCCAGAGCGCTGAGATTATAGCTGTGTGCCATTCTGCCTGACATAACACTTGGAGCTGTGTTAACCATAACTTGTATCTTTAACCTTATTGTTAACCTATAAAAAGCACAGTGGTCTATAATGAAGCAATCCCATATTTTAAAGGTTTTGTGGGTATTGGAAGAGAGGAAAGTGATAAAATAAGGTAATGGTAAATTTCATGTTATAGCACAAATTTCTAAATATTGCCCTTGGATTAATGTTTTAGGAAATATTTTACCCCAGCGGATGCAACATTGTTTTGTTGCTTAATCTATAACTATATGAAGACATTTATAGTCTTTATAGCTTATTTTGTTTCACATTTTATTATATACACTTAATGCTTTTTAAATTTTTTATTCTCTTTAAAATGAAATAAATATGAATATTATTATATCTAAATATGAATTATGCAAGGCAGGCAAGAGGTTATTAACTCATACAGGAAGGCTATCACTTTTTTTGTCCACTGAAATGTTAAGCCAGGGACAAATATATTTTGTCAGAAACTTTTGAAACTCAAATTTTGATTTTTGTGGCGGGGGAGATAGCTCAGCAGCATAAGTACCTGCCTGGCAAGTGCAAGGTCCTGAGTTTGATCCCCAATACCGCAAAAAGAAACACCCCCCAAAAGATTTTCTTTATTTTATTTTATTGAGAAACAAATATCAATGAGACAGTTTCAAAACTGATTAATAGGATGATTTCAATAATTAATACATTGTACATTGTTATCTTCTTAGTGGTTTCCATACCAAAAAGATTTTGTCTTGTTTTTCTTTTTCTCTTTTTCTTTCTACTTTTTTTTTTCACATGTTCTTATGTGCTATATCCCTTAAGACCTTTGACTTAACTTTAGAACATGTTGGGTATGAATGAACTGTTTGCTTTCAGTAAGTCACATGCACAGAATCACAGAAATTAATAAAAAGGGAAACCTATTTTTCTCATCTTTTTCCACTGCGCTGCTCAAAGATAATAACTGGGGCTGAGTGATTTGTAAAAAAGAGAGGCATTTCTTATGCTTGTGGGCATAGAAGCTGGGGACCCAAGAGAGTGACACTAGGAGGGCCTTCCGGCTGCAGCAGTCCATGACAGAATGTAGATGGAAGGCGGCAGCCAAGGTGAGGGAGCAAGAGAGGGCGCATTCACACTCACGTCCAGAGGAAGCCCACTCGCGGGCACTAAGCTGC